CTTATAGAATGTAAAAAACCCACCACAGTAACAAGATTTTTCAAAGAAAGGCTTAAAATGACAAAGCGGCAGGTGCGTTTGTGTGACTCAGTTACCCGTCAACTCTGTTGTAGCTAGCCCTAATGTTAGCATGGTGCCTCAGAAGGCACATTCACCTCTGCATCTGCTAAAGCATCAGGAGCTAATGTCCTCTGAGAGTGGCATTCTTCTGGAACTGGACTTCATGGATATGGTTATTATAGCATCAATATGCTTTAGACTGTTTATGAAGCTTGTAATGTATCTGATGTGGTCTCTTGTATTGATGGTTGCGTGGTTGTAACATTAAAATGCTGCAAATAATAATCCAATAATATTACAATATGATATATATATAATATCAGGCCTGCTGCCTAAAAACACTTTAGTACTTGTTGATAATATCTTTGTAGTTTTACTTAAATATAGGTTTTAAATATAGCTTTGAATTAAACCTTGACCTTAATTGGATATTTCTGCAATGTGATTTGCTACTTTAACTTAAATAAAATATCTGAATTCCACCAATATTAGTGCCTCGCTAGTAGGGGGTTTGTTTGTATTTACTCTCTGCCTAGCACATGTGGGTTAGATAGGTAGAGAGAGGAGCCATCCTTTGTGCTCACACAAAGTTAACAGGTTTGGTAAAAATGAGTGACTGCATCATTTAAAAAGAAAACTTTTGAGACAACATATATGCCCTAAGGTTGAAGTAATCTAAGCATTTACCTGCTTACTATATGTATATATAATATGTCAAATAATAGACTGCTTCACAAATAAGTATCTTTGTACATCACATTTAAAATGTATTTGTTGATTTGTTTGTTTTGAGGAGAAAAAAGAAGGTAAAGTCAAAATTAATGTCATGCAAAATGTGCTGTAAATTATCTTTTCAATTTGTTTTCTATTACTTTAATATATCAGTGAAAATGCTTGAAATGTGTCAAAACACAAGGATCCAACTACAGCATGTTACTGTAACTGTATGTACCTTAAAACATCTGTTACATGCAGGGTCCCAGTTAGACGCCTGGTCTGAGTTTTATAGAAATTCTTCAGATGTATAAAATCAATTAAAACCCACCGGGTCAAGTCCTGAATGCTGTCCTGTCCACTTTCTTTTCTTCCTGCACCGTGTTGCTGGGTGTGCTTGTTTTCATTCCCTTGCTGGCTACAAAATCCGAGGTAGGCTACAGGTATATTTTTTATATGAATTGATATGTTATTCAATAGCCTAATTATTATACAAGTCATATTCATACTGGTTTAAATAAACAATTTGATTCCCATCCTTGCTGAGCAAGAGTTTTGTTCCAAAGGAATTAAAGGCCTGTCCCATATAGAGGCCTCTCCCAAATAAAGGCAGTGTTTAGTCATTGAAGCAAATAAAAGTCTGGGCTATTAATTGAAGTTTTATGGTATTATTATTCTTTTTTTAGTTCTATTGGAAAAATCAATATCAATTGGATTTAATTTTGCCATACAGGCTTTGTCAAATTACTCACTACTTCATTGGTGAGTCGGGGCAACTGCTGGCATGAAATGCACCACAATTATATGCCTGCTTATAACACACCCCGTATTCAAATAAAGTAAATGGAGGTGCATTGTGAAACTCAAAAATCTGCCCCCTTGTGAATTTCCCTCCTCTTGTGACCATGGGAACATCCGACTCAATAAAATGATAAAACTGCAAGTCGTGTGTTCCCTAAAAATTATGAACGATTGCCGGCCTGTGCTGGAGAGCTGTTCATATTTTCACCTAAAATGCGAATGTATATAACGGCAATTTTCACAGTGATGCCACTGTTTGCTGGGAGCAGGTGTAAGTGAGAGAAGCTGCAGCTGAAGAACAGCAAGTGTTATCAACACACAGACTGAAGTGCTCTGTGTGTGTGTGTGTGTGTGTGTGTGTGTGTGTGTGTTTTAGTGTGGGTCATGTTGCTCTGACCAGGTGCTCCTC